AAAAAAGGAAGTAAAGGAGCAGAAAGCTTACTTTAAAGGAATATGGGCCAAAATCTTTAAATTTTGGAAGGGTAATAGACATTCATACTCATAAAGCCTAAATGTTCCCAAATCAGATGAACCAAAAGAAATCTACATCAATATACTATAACCAAATTGTTAAAAGTTAAACACAAAAGAGAGTTTTGACAGAAGAAAAAAGCAAATCATCCCTCACCCATAAGGCTATCCCGCAGGCTAGAAAAGAGAAGGGCAAAGTATTCAACATGCTGAAAGAAAAACTGCCAACACACATACCATCCCTGAGATAAAAGGCCTCAGAAATGAAGGAAAAATGAAGACTTTCAAATGAACAAAAGCTGAAGGAAGTCATCACCACTAGCCTTGCCTTCCAAGAAATGCTCCAGTGAGTTCTTTGAGTTGAAATGGAAAGACACAAAACAGCAGCAATACAATGGTATGTGGAAGCAGAAAACTCACTGGTAAAGAAAATATATAGACAAATCCATGAAAGTGTAATACTGTAATGGTGGTATGTAAACCACTTTTTTGGTATGAATAATTTCTATATTTTGGGTTTTTATTAGCACATGTTTGTATTATATAATGTTTACATTCCTTGTGTGTAGTTGGTACATGTACACAACATGTTCATAGCAGCACGATTCATAAGAGCTAAATCTTGGAAGCGGCCTATATGTCCAACAACAGATGAACAAATAAAAAAAATGCAGTATACATTTACACACCATGGAGTACTTCTCTGCCATAAACAAGGATAATCTTGAGTCACCTATAGGAAAACAGATGTACCCTGACAGCATAATGTTAAGAGAAATACATCAGAAACACAAGCTTAAATAGTATACTGTTTCTCTTATATAAGAAACCAAAGTATAAATAAAGAGCAAAATAAAAGATAATAGGAAGCAGGGAGATAGATCATTCTCAAATGGAAAGGGGATCAAAAGAAGGGTAGAAGAAGGAAAATGAAAGTAGATGTAAACCACTTTAATTCTATTATAATATAATGGCAATACTGTACTATGTCCTCTATCAATAGTTTAAATGTAAATGTATTAAACTCCTCAAAGTAGCTGAGTGCATTAAAAAATAAGACCCAAGTATATGCCACATATAACAGATTCACTTTGGATTTAAGGACATATGGAGTTTGGAAGTGAAGAAATGGGGTGATAGTCCATACAAACGGTAACAAAGAGCAGTGGTGGCCAGGTCAAATCAAACAAAGTAGATTCTTGTGACAAACTGTCACAAGGTCATTATATAATGATAAAATGATCAAACCATCAGGAAGGTAAACAAGTTATAAATATATGGTGTATTGACTCAACATCAGAATACCTACATTATAAAACTAACAGAAACTAACAGATCTGATAGGAGAAATAGAGACCAATACAATAACCACAGGAAACTTCAATATCCTACTTTCAATAATAGATAAACATCCAGAGAGAAAAACCAATGAAGAAACAGAGAACTTATATAACGCTATAAATAAACATCACAGAAATACACAGACCATTCTGCTCTACGGCACCAGACAGAACATTCTTGAGGAAAAACCAGTTGTTATGTCACAAAAAGTCTTAGCAAACTTAAGAAAATAATGGAATAAAACTAGAAACCAACAACAGGAGGAAAATCGGAAAATTCACAAATATGTAAAAATTACAAAACAGACTCTTGAACAAGTAATTAATCAAAGAAGAAAAAGGAAATTAGAAAATATCTCAATAAAAATACACCACCAAAACTTCTCTAGTAAGGAAGTTTATAGCAATAAATGCCTAACCTAAAAAAGATCTCAAATAAACAACCTAAATTTACACTCAAACTAGAAAAAAGAAAAATAAGCTAAGCTCAAAGCTGACAAAGGGAAGAAAATAATAAAGATTAGAGAAGAAATAAATGAAACTAAAAACAGACAAAAAACTCATGAAAACTAAGATTTAATTTTTTAGAGATTAACAAAGTTGATAAATCCTAGAAAGACAGAAAAAGGAGACTTAAATAAAATCAGAAATGAAAGAGACATTATAACTAATACCAGAGAAATAAGAAAAGTATAACAAGATACTATGAAAGATTATATGCCAATAAGTTGAACAATCAAGAAGAAATGGACAGCCAGGTGTGGTGGCAGACACCTGTAATCGCAGCTACTTGGGAGACTAAGGCAGGAGGAACACAGGTTTGAAACCAACCTAGGTAATTTAGCAAGACCCTGCCTCAAGATAAAAAATAAAAAAGGGCTACAGAAGTAGCTCAGTATGAAGACCCTGGATTCAATTCCCAGAACCACCCCCCAAAATTAAAAATTAAAAAAAAAAAAAGAAAAAAACCTCAGAGCCAGGCATGGTGGAACACAACTATAATTCCAGCACTGTAAGAGGCTGAGACAGGGGGAGTCCAAGTTTAAGCCTGGGCAACTTAGACCTGTCTCAAAATAAAAAATTTCAAAAAGCTGGAGATGTAGCTTAACATGAAAGCCCTGAGTTCAATCCCCAGAACCACAAAAATAAGTAAATCGATAAACAGTTCATATGCAACATCATATCAGATGGTGAGAAACTGAAATCTTTTTCAGAAGATCAGGAACAAGGGAGGAATGACTGCTCACGCCACTTTTACTTAACATAGGTTTGGAATTCCTAGCCAGAGCAACCAGGCAAAAATAAATAAATAAAAATAACAAAGGAAAAGAAACAAAAAGCATGCAAATCAGAACAGAATTATTTGCTTTATGCCTACATACCAACAAGAAACTATCCAAAAAGTAAATTAGGGGCCAGGGATTTAGCTCATTGGTTCCACAGCCTGCTTCACAAGTGCAAGGTTCCAAGTTCAATCCCCAGTACAAAACAAAACAAACAAAAAGGAAATTAGGAAAACAATCCTATTTACAATAGCATTAAAAAGAATAAAATACTTAGGAAGTAAACCAAAGAAGTAAAAGACCTGTACACTAAAAACCATAAAACACTGATGAAAGAAATGAAAGACAACAAAAATAAATAGAAAGATATCTCATATTCATGAACTGGAAGACAATGTTGTTAGAATGTCCATACTACTTAAAATAATCCAGATTTGGTGTAATTCTGTCAAAATCCCAATTGTGTTTTTTATAGAAAGAGAAAAATACAGTTCTAATTTCATACAGGAAGCATTGTCTGAACTGTCAAAATAACCTTGGGAAGATTCAAAATATAATACAGAGCTATAGTAATTAAAATGGTATGGGACTGGCATAAGAACAGACAAGAATGCCAAGAATGTCCAAAGGGGAAAGGACAGTGTCTTCTACAAAAGGGACTGGGAAAACTGAATGTCCACATACAAAATAATAAAATTAGGCCCATATCTTACACCACACACAAAAATCAACTCAAAACAGATTAAAGATTTAAACATTAGACCTCAGCATCTAAACCTCCTAGAAGGAAAACATGGGGACAGTTTTATGATACTGGTTTGTGTAATGATTTTTTGGATATGACACCAAAATATAAGCAACAAGAGCAAAAACAGACTGGGGGACTATATCACACTAAAAAGCTTCTGCACAGCAAAGAATCAACAGAATCAAAAGACAACATAGGGAATGGGAGAAAACATTGCCAAACTACATATCAGATGGGGGTTAATACCCAAAATATATAAGGAACTCCCTTAACTCAATAGTAAAAAAGCAAAAATATGATTAGAGAAAGGGCAAAGGACCTAAATAGACATTTCTTCAAAAGAGACATATAAATGGTCAACAGGCAGAGGAAAAAGTGCTTAACATCAGTGATCAAGAAAACGAAAATCAAAACCATAATGAGGTATCACCTAACACCTGATTATTATCCAAAAAGAACAAAAGATAAGTGTTGGCAAGGATGAGGAGAAATTGGAAGCCTTGCATACTGTTGGTAAAAATGCAAAATAGCACAGCCAGCAAAGAAAATAGTGTGAATGTTCTTCAAAAAATTTTAAAGTAGAACTACCATATGATCTAGTGATCCTACTTGCTGTATTTATAAGAACTGAAATCAGGATCTCAAAAAGATATCTGTACTCTCATGTTCACTGCAACATTATTCACAAAAGGCAAGATATGCAAACAACCTAAATGTCCATAAACAGATGAATAAAAAAAATGTGGTGCATGTATACTGTGGAATATTATTTAGTCCCTCAAAAGGAAATCCTGCCATATGCTACAATATGAATGAACCTAGAGGACCTTACAGGTAAAATATGCTAGTCACAGAAGGTCAAATAGTACATGATACTACTTATATGAGGTAGCTAAAAAAATCAAACTCCCAGAAATTCCTAGACTAGTAACTGCAGATAGAAGGGAGAAGTGAGGGAAAATGGGGGAGTTCCTGTTCACTAGGTATAACAGTTCACTTATGGAAGATGGTGAAGTTCCAGAGATCTGCTGTCCATCACTGTGCATATAGCAAACAATACTGCATTGCACATTTAAAATCTGATAAGAGAGTGGGTCTCATGTTAAGTTCTTACCACAATAAAAATTAAAGAAAAGTGGGCTAGGGATTTTGCTCAGTTGTTCCACCGCCTGCCTCACAAGCACAAGGTCCCAAGTTCAATTCCCAGTATCAAAATAAATAAATAAACAAATAAAAAATAAATATAGAAAAGTAAAAAACAAAAAATTTAAATGTATTTCTCAACATTTCAACTGCTAAAAAAATGAACTAAGAACGCAGGATCTGAGGGAATAAGCTGGGAGTCTAAAATGAAAATTCCTATATTGAATAAAAGGACCCAAAAGACAAGACAAAGAACATCAAAAACAAAATGGTTTAACTTCATAAATGAGTAGGAAATACTGCTTTATTTCTTCACATGAGTGATGGTTAATGGAATGTTCACTGGTAATAATTCGTTAAGTTTATGATTTGTAATATTTTCTATATATACTATGTGGCAATAAAAAGTAAGAAAAAAATACATACTCTTTGTTCTGGCACTTGTTGATGTGATTAAGAGAAGAATATACATGAAGAATAGGGACAATGTTTTTCTTGGTCAGAGATTTAGGCTCCTCAACTATTTTCTTCATAAACAAGTCCATCAATTCAATAGGTCGAAAGCCAAGTTTTTCAAACATAAGCAGGAGAAAAAAAACCTTGAAAAGAGAGAATTCAGGAAAATATTTTTAGTGACAGTATGCTAACAATAATTTCTAGGTCTCAAAAAGTCTAAACAGCAATACAAACTGTCCCAATAACAAAATAGTCCCTAAAAGGAACAAAATCTACTGTATCAAATTAATAAGCAATCTTTTTATAAGCTGAGTATCAAGTCAAACAATGATTTCCATACTTCTATTTTATCTAAAAAAAGGTCTTTTCCTACATGGTGCTCATACTACTGATATGGAAATTACTTTTAAAATATATCTTTTCTGGGCCAGGGATTTAGCTCAGTGGTTTCATCGCCTGCTGCGCAAGCACAAGGACCCGAGTTCGATCCCTGGTACCAAAAAATGAAAAAAAAAATAAAATATATCTTTTCTGATATTTTTTCCATTTTAAATCTTGAGCAGCTCCCAGTTCACTTTCTATAGTGTCACTTCCTACAGTGTCACTTCCTAGACACTTCCTACATTCTAACATGAGATAATCAAAATTTCTCTAGTTAATATTAATTTCTAAAAGTGAGAACAGAGCTAAAATATTAGATTAAAATAAGCTTTCCAGTTCACCTCTGATTTCCCTCTTGATTTTTATCACAATAATTACTTTTTTCCAAAATAAACTTCCATAATAAACCCCTATTCATCTTACTCTCCAAAGTAAACCGATCCTACTCATCTACCACAGACATCATCTGCTCCATTGGAAAAAAGGGTTTTTATAAGCTGCTTCATTTTAACTGTTTTTATTATTAAATACCACTCCTGAATTTAAAGGCTTTTATTCTGGAGAAAACAATGGAAATGATCTTTTAGTAATGATATTTTATTCTGTCACATCACTCACCTTTACTATTCAAAAATCTGAGAAAAAGTATAAATAATACTAAATACCTAACCAATGTACCACACAACCTCTTGAAAACCAAATAGAAGAGCAAAGTTTGGACAATGTAATTTTTGTTTCAGATGGTAAGATCATCAAAAGATTGAGTGGCGTGTTAACAAGAACAGAAGTAATCTCCGAGACAAAAATAACAAAGAGCCAATTTTTCAAAAGTCAAGTTACAACTGGAATATTTTGGTACCTTACCTGCTATAAAGTATAAAGAAATTATTAAAATGCTAAGTGCATTAATATGCTTCTTGAAATTTCTGAGGCTTAGTCTCAACTGATAACATACTCACTTTTTGCAACTTCCAGATATCAAAAGTCACAGCCACATAATCTGCTATTCCCTTGAAGAGATCTGAATTATGGTATCGAAGGTCTATGCAGGATTCCAATATGTCCATGCATACTTTAAGAGGACACCCATGGATATTATCTTTAAGAATGAGTTAAATAAACAAACAAAAAATATCAGATGGTTGTGAATCTAAGATTCACAATGTTCAATACTTTTGTTTCTTTAGGGGAAAAAATTATTATATTTTATTTTTTAAAAATACAGGCAAAAATAAAATTTAGATATAGCTTCATCAACAAATTTCTTACAAAGAAAACAAAGTTTTAAAAACAAAAACAAAACAAATATATTCCAAAATATTAGTTCAGATGCTACAGATCATGAAGGAAACATTCTTACCTAAGACCATCTTGCTGCATTCATTCAGCAGTACAACAGAACGGTGATTCATGGCAGATAGTGACTTGAACATGTGCTGGCTATTCAAAGCAGAAAATCCACCTAATTCCCTCAAGGCTTTCATCTAAAGAAAAACATGCTTATATTTATCATCTGTGAAAAAATAAACTTTTATTTTTAACTATAAAGAATGAAATTTGAGAATGACTTGGAAAAATAGATAAGTAAATATAGATATCTATTTATGTATACAAATAAATATGTCTTAATACACTTTAGCAGGCCTAAACTCAAAAGCACAGTGATGTCCTAAAAAAATTGACTTCAGAAAAAAACAGCAAGTCAAAAGAAATATTTTTTTCAAATCTCTTTCACTAGAGAAAATTCATGTATTTACCTCCAATTTTCTTTTAAGAGCAACTGGTGCATCTTTTCCAATATATCTCATTATAGTTTGTAATGTGATGACATGTTTTATTTTCCAAATTTGCTGATCAACTAGCAACCTGTCATTAAACACGATAAATGTTAGTGAAAGACCCAGAACAAGTCTAGCACTATTTCCTCTCACACTATTGTGCTGTCTTTACTAATGAATAAATCATATCAGAACATTATAGTAAGACATCCTATGCACAGGTAACAAAAAAAGGAAATTAAGTATTGTTCTCAATAATCTATGACATTAGATCAGTTGTATCAATTTTATAAATTCCTTTTCAAGTTGAGCCAGTTTCGTGTAATCCCTACACAGTGCCTAAATAACTATTTTGAATTGAATATACATCTCCTGACCACATGAATACTACGTTTTAAGATAAATTCAGATTTAATGTAAACGTATATTTTAATGTTGCCCACACTTTTTTATATGGTAGACCCTAAAAAAATTATTTCCAGTTTTATTTCATCCAAAGGTACAATTTTAAATGTAATTATTACAAACTTTACCAACAATGCCTTCCTTCCCTCTGTTCTCCAGAAAAGGAGTTCAACTTTCATCTCAATTTTTAGTTTCTGGTATAAGAACGGAGAAACCCACATTAAGAAAGAGTTCTCACCACAATCCTGTTCGAAGAGCTTGTACATTCTGGCATGGCTCCAATGCCTCTAAAAGAGTTGACAAAATTGAGAGACATCTCTCATCACACTCAGTGATACGTTCCTATTGAAATATAATTGCAAAAATACTATAGGTGATGAGCAAGGTAGACTATCTCACCCAAGCAAAACCACTGAACTGATGCTTTCAATTAAAGACCTAAGTATCAAGCCAGGAATTCATATAGTCAGTCCATTATAAATAACTTCTCTGGAAAAGAAAATGTCACATTTAAGTGAATTTTCCAAGGATATATATCATTTTATGCATCGACACTTTTTTACATTTATCATTATCAAAGTCCCTTAGATGGTGTGCCCTTACAATTTCACTGTATCTTTTCCTAGGTACCACGTTATAATTTCAGTTGTAAATCTGCTCATGCGCACCTCCTGCCAAATTTCACTACCACAATCTGGGTCTGAGGAGAGCAGGGCCTCAGAGATCCCTCCCTAATGTTCCTTTAGTTAGGATGCTAGTTTAGATTCCAGAATGGCAGTGGGCATAATTTGGAAAGTGAACAGTAACAATATAGCTTTATCTACCACAGCACTCTACAACTGAATCACAACTAGTCTGTACATCTCACACCCAAGGAAACAGGCTGAAATAAGTATGCTTGTTGCTAAAATTGCATGACTAACCAATTAGAAAATCTCAAGTAAGAATCAGGTAAAAATAAAAAACGGATAAGGCTGAAAGGAAAAAGAAAGGTTGCATTCCCATGAAAAGGTTTTCCTAACAATCTATGGCATTCCCATCAACATCTTCTGTGAAAGGGAAGATTACTGGGCTGTTTGAAGGGCAAATTTATCAGTGGCACACCATCCTTTTATCTCCAGCTAAAGTGTCTTTATAACATTTCAACAAATCAGTGAGATATAATCATACACACATATTCCAACTCCAAATCCCCACTGCTCCCATGTCACAAGGCCAGATGCTACATTGATGTAATAATATTTATACAAAATCTAGTACAGTAGAAGCATAAGGTAAGGGAACTTATAGTAATCAGTTTTAAATAATTATATATGGAACTAATATACAGTCTACCAAATACGAATATTCTGTGGTTTAAACAAACATATTCAAAATGAAAACTAGTTCTTGATTGAGGACATACAGAAATCACAGTAATGTAAAAAGTTAAAATTAAAAACACTATATACTCTACCCTAGAGAGAAAAGATGTGTCACATTATCCCCAAGAAGTTATCTTTAAAAACACTGATTATCATCACATTTAAAAGTCTGAGGTGTCTACTCTTAAAAAGTAAATGATTAAAAAAAAAAAGTAAATGATTAATGAGTGAATCCTTCCTTTCTCGCATCTGGTGCCATTTCAATGACATCAAGTAGGCCACGAAGACACTTGTGTGAAACTAAAATTGGCTCTCCTGTTCAAGTTCATCCTTCAAACAATGCAACTTCACTTATATATCTACCTAAATTACAAATCTGAGCATGTTAATGAACCTTTTTCTTAAAAGCCTTCATGTTTCCACATTGTCTCCCACAGCCTCCAGGATAAATGCAAATTCCGTAACAGGCATACAAGGTTTTTATGATCTGGATTCGAATTCTCTAAGCTCATGGCCTACCAGTAAGCCTTTGCAGCTTCCTCCTTCCCTTGACCACCAGGGACACAGCTTACTTGCCACCCATTCAAACTCACACCACACACACTGTTCGGACTCTAGCCATGCCAAGGTACTCTCAGCTTTCTGAACTAGCCAAACCTTTTCTTCAGGATGTTGGGCACATAATCTTGCACTGTCCCCTTCATTACCAATGTTTTCACAAACTGCTGGTCACCCATTGGAGTCAACTTGCACATAATTTCCTATTGGGTTTGAATCCCAATTCTACCATGGACTGGGTGTTCATTTAATCAGCAAGTATTTATCAAGGAGAGGTTGAGCATCCTTAATCAAAACCTCTGAAAACTATACTGGGCACAGTGACACACACCTGTAATTCCAGTACTTGAGAGGTTGAGGCAGGAAGATCACCATGAATTCAACACCAGCCTGGGCTATGTGGTGAGTTTAATACCAGGGTGAACTATACAGCAAGTCACTGTTTCAAAAAAATGAAAACAAAACAAAACAAAAAGCATTGGTACAAAAAAGTTTTGGATTTTGGAGCATTATGGACTAGAAATAGAAATGTTCAACTGGTAAAGTCTATGTGCAAGTATCTAAAATCCGAAATCCAAAAACTCCAAAATCTGAACACTTCTGGTCCAAAGTATTTCAGATAAGGCATACTCAATCTAGGACTGGAGTGGCTGCCCAGCAAGTCCAAGGTCCTGAGTTCAATCCCAGTACCAGAGGGGAAAAAAAAAAGAATATTCAATCTGTATCTCTATATAGGAATATTAACAGGTATATGACCTTGGGGAAGTAATTAAACTAAGTTTCAGTTGCTTAATCAACAAGATGAGATTAACAGTATTTATTTTAAAGGGCTATACTGAGAATTACTCTGTATATATATCTCTGCTCCAATCACCAACCTTGTGTATTCCTCCCCATCTCAATTTCCCATCACGAAGTAACACTAAGTTGGAAGCCTCTGTTACACACTCTCATACAATTGCATGTTTTTTTCATCACACTAAAATACATCTACAATATCAGTATTTTGTTTACAATTATATTCCCTAGTATTCAGCCTAGTGCCTATAAAATGGCATGATTAAAGGAACGTTTGTTACTATTTTTGTAAAAGCTTCAGGATTATAAGGAACCATGTCTTATATATCTTTATATCTCTACTGACAAACACAGCAACTTGTAAATAGCTGATACGAAATACATTGTTATGGTTTGTGTCTAGATGTCCCCGCAAAGCCTCATATAATCATAGGTGGGGCTTTTCAGATGTGGCTGGTTCTAGAGTATGTGATGCTCAGATGAAGTGAGTGGTGCTGGGATTAAGTGTACGATGCTGGAAATTAAGAGTGTGTGATTATTAAATTAGTTCACTGATTGGTTTGGCATAGTTCGGGGTGTGGATAATGGGAAGGCTCAACCCTGAGTGTGACTGCTACCTGCCCTAAGGGCGTGTAGCCTGGATAGAGCATAAGGGACAGAAAGAGGGCTGCTGCTTCACTAATTTATTGCTTGCTGTTTTGCTGCCCTCTGCTGTCTGGCTGCCATCAACTATTTCTCCTCTGCCATGCCACTCTGCCTTAGGGCTAGCCAACTATGAACTGAAACCTCTACAAACTGTGTGCTACTATAAACCTTTCTTCTTTAACTTTGGGTGTTGGGAATTTTGTCTTAGCAACAAGTAATAGGACATATGTTTATTTCATGAATAAATGAATCAATTAACTCTATGACCTTAACCAAGTTGTTTAATGTCATTAAATCTACTTCCTCTTCTGCAAAACTGCAACCTTTAGGCTGTTGAGAGGATTAAATAAGATTATACAGTAAAAGGCATAGATACTCAATACATATTAGTTCCCCTTTCTTCTCTTTCTGTCCTTCCTTCAACCACCTCAACTTTCTTTTTATATCTTGCATCTCTCTCCATCTGAGCCTCTTTATTACTGCTCACACCCGGAGAAGATAAACAGAGGGAGGCTTTCATAAATTTCCATACCAAATAATCTACTTAAAGCCTCCAAATCATCATACACATATACATATATGTGTGTGTATATATATATATATATATATATATGCAGAAATAAATACATATATTCTACTGATAGTCCCTCTTAAGGAGGCTACATACCTGTTTCCCCTCATTTTTTTGGTACCAGGGATCAAACTTGGGCCCTTGCGCTTGCAAGGCAGGCAGAGGCACCACTGAGCTAAATCCCTGACCCTCCCCTCATTCTTTTAATATGTGCTAAACCAAATAAAAACACTTTAAAGTCTCTTTCTGAGCTTACCTGAATAACCCTCAGCAAAGTCTGTACCAGAAGCGAATTCTGAAAGACTCCAAGCTTTACTATAGCGTGAAGACTGAATAGCAGGTGGTCATAGCGCATGATCTTAGCTTCTTTCATCATTTCTTTACATAGCTGGTTAAAAGCAGGGTGATTAAACATCAGTTGTTTTTCACAGCGCTTCTGATCATCAGACATCCTTTTGGCAACTGTCCACATTGCTAAGAAATATTTACTACTAGGAAATGTAGGTGCTTTTGAAAATGTATCTAATACATCACTCAGAGAATTAGACTCCTCAGATAGTTTTCTATAGTTGATAGGAGTTGATTTCATTTCCTTGGAGAGCACATCTTCACTGGAGACCTCATGATGAAAGTCTACTTTTTTCAATCCATTATCAGAAATACCAATAGAAACAAAATAATCTTTTGAGTCAAAGGATATTCTTCTAGGACAAAGTAGTCTGTTAACTCTAAAGACTGTTAAAGTGTTTAAGCTTTCTGACTGAAAGCCATCATTTCTTGATTTTAAAATGAATGCATCCTGAAAGAGGTATCTAATAGATGGTCGCATTCTATTATCAAAGTCATTTAATGGAAGGTTTCTTAAATTCCAGTTTGAATGATCAATTTTTGATCTGCAAAATCCCAAAGGATATATACTCGAAGTTCTGCTAGCTAGAACTAAAGTACTGAATTGTCTGAGGTTCCATATATTGGAACGTGCTTTGTTACTCATTTTGTTATCCACTGAAACACTTTCAAATGACTTTCAGTTTTCAATATGAAACAAAAGTCACTTCCATTAGTGAAAAAGAACACATGCTGTCGTTTTCCTGTAGGGAACAAGGTAATGAAAAGAATAAAAGTTAAAGCATAGACTTTACAGTCACAATCATAGTGTGCATATATTTGCATTGTGCTTATTTTACTCCTCATATTATAGACATGTCCATGTTTCTACAAAGACTTCCAAATAGTTATTTTCATAGCAGTATACTTCAATATTTTTATTAACCAACTTTCTTCTTTGACATGTAGACTTTTTCCAATTTTTGCTATTATAAATAATACAGACATAAACATCTTAGTGCATTTAACTTTTTTTGGTATTCTTTAAAAACACGTGAGTGGAATTTATGGGGCAAAGCCATTTTTATGGTCCTTGCTACCATACTGCATATGGAAGGTAATATCCAAAACCAATTCGTTGTGGGGATATGGAATGATAATGATATTTAATTTACTTTTCTTTATTATTACTTTGTATTTTCAAATAAAAACAGGTAAATCACGAAAACAGTTAAAGCGAAACTTTTACTTAATGAAATGCAGAGGCTAAATGGGAATGAAATCACTAAATATTTACATTAAAACGGCAAAATTATTTCACCAGTATGGGCTTCCACTTTTGCCACAACATGCACACTATTTTAAAGTACCCAAGTGAACCACTTTCGAAGTAACTGTTATAGCTGAAAGTGAACAACAACAAAATCCCTGGGGGACAAGTGTTCCATAAAGCTTCCTCTCCGGAAGGGATTTTTATTCGCACTGTCTTAAGAGATATTTTCAATGAAGTCAAAGGGTATAATATTAATGGATTCTTTTCAACATTATTTATTGCAAAGGGCGAACCTGGACTATCAACCCGCAGCTACTACAGACGGGTCCTGAGGACAGGATACATTTTTTAAAGTGACGCTTGTAAAATGCCAATTTGTAATCGGTGCTGTAAGAAACTTTGACTTAATTCTTTAGAAAGTTAATGTTTTATGTTACAAATACTTACATAATGTACTTACAAATAAAATTGAGCATTTTTTTACTTTATAAAAAAGTTAAATTTATGGGTCCTGAAGACCAATAAATAGTACGTATGAAACTAAAATGAGTCGGTAGTAGCTGCAGATTAAGATTACGGATTTGGACAGGTTGGACTTACTCAGGAGAGGAAACAAAACTAAAGTGATGCGAATCACACCTGAAAGGTAACGAGCCAGTCTTACCTCGAAACCTCACCACTGTCAACGTCCTTCCGCAGCTGGGCCACCCACCGTAACCTATCTTCCTGAACGTCGGGACCACTCCTCACACCATTCGCTGCAGGGCAAAAAAGTCTAGGAGATGTTGCCAGTCGTTCCGCCTATGCTTATGCTCCACTCACCTTAAAACAGAACCCCGTGGCCACCTACGGCCGCAGCCATGACAGCTTTCCGGAAAGTTACACGTATCGCGAGAGTTTACGGATACATTTATAGGCCAAAAACTGTACGTTCGCGGTGGTTGTAGAAAGATGTTTAGAGAGAAAAAAGTCTAAAACATTGGCTAATTTTCGTGGATACTGAAATACAGACTAGGTCAAGGGAGACTGCAGAGCTTATAAAAGCGATGTGTGATCGTTCACTGCAACGTAAGCTACTCAAATACTAATTTTGAAGTCCCAACCTTTCCCGCTAGGTGTCAGTCAACGAGCCAGCTCCATAGTGCGCCTGCGTCACTCTCCGAGGAGTGGTTGCTAGGAAACCGCGACGCTGTGGTCCCTGACTTTGAGTCCTCGCTTGATCATGGCCAAATTTGTGATTGCCGGTGAGTGTTGCCTGCCTCCTCCTGCAGATCTCTCAAAATGTAACTCCAGCCTACAGAAGGACCACAGTGAGCTTTCTTACGTAGTCCAGGGTATTTACTAGAAGGTGACAGCGAGCCAAGCACTGCTGAGCAAGGCGGATTCAGTGAGGGGAAAATGCATCCCTGCCCTCGGAGAGTTTCCGTCCTCGTGGAGAAAAGCGTGAAAAGAAGTGCTTTTGATATGGTGCAATTAATGCGATGAGGGAAAGATTCGCAAGTCTCTGGGAGAATACACCCTTACTCTGGAAGTGGAAGTGGGGGGAAGGAGGGCACAAGGGAGTTCACTTTGGGGACTGTTACAGGAGCTAAGTTGTGAAGGTTTAAGGTTGGAAGGCCATTCTAGACAAACACAGAAGATAGAAACTTCGTAGTCTATCGGAGACTCTGGATATAGGGAGAATTACAAGGCCTGGAGCTAAAACTACACAAGCAGGAGCCAGATCGTTGCACCTCACATACACCTACCAGAGGTGTTTGTACTATGAAAGCAATAAAGTGATTGAAAAATTTAGAGAAGAGTGTGTCCTTAATAGGGTTGCATTTTGAGATGCCTGTTTTGGCAGCAAATGGAGGGGAAGGACCTGGCAGGAAGGCAACCACTGCTTTTCCATCTCCCCTCCATTCCACTCAATCTGATTTGTACGACTTCTTCCTTGTGGATACTGCCCTCACGGAAGTCACCAATGAGTTTAACAAAAGCTGTGCAGCCCTTGCTTATTTGACCTCTTTGATACGTTGAACAGAATTTACATTTACCATTTGTCTACTTGGAATATTTGTGACCACTGGCTAACTGCATGCTAGGAAGACAGTGGGAAGCTTGCAGAAAATGTTGTGTGTGTGGCAGTAGCAGAACAATGTTCTAGAGCAACAATGGAAAGGACCTTACTTATTCTGAGAATGACTTCCAAGGAGGGGGAGATTTTTAAGGAGATACCTGAAAGATGAAATTTACCTGGTAGAGAAGAGGTATGGAGAAACAGAAATTTAAGCATTTGTGTCAGGGTGGGATTCAAGTGAGAATAGCTAGTTTGGTAATAATTAAAAGTGTATAATAAGTATAATATTGAAATAAGCTTAGTAGGACTAGAGCAAAGAGTATAAGAAAGAATGTTATAAGGTGATGCTACACTTAAATAATGTAGTTTTTGAGTCATATTAGGTAGCTTAGACTTTATCCAAAGTACTTGGAAGACTTTTAGAGGAGGAGAACATAATAAAATTAAAACATGATGAGCAATGTAGATTAGAGACCTATTCAGGAGATAGAAACTATAGAACTGGATATCTAACAGGGTGGAGAAGGGCAAATAAGAGAGAAGAAGCTAAAAATTATTTCCAAGCAGTGATTTGGATAACTGGGTAGATTAAAGGTCACTGAAAAAAATTTAAGTAGGAGAATAAGCTTAGTACTATGGTTACTCTTAATATTCTTCAGTGACTTAGGAAATGGATATAAAGAACATAGTTGAAAGAGCATATTTGGCAGGGACTGATGGCAAAAATCCATCATAGACATGTTGAGTGCCTATGAGGCACTTAGAAGGAGATGAAAGAATATAAGACAGTAGAGGTATCCAGATATGGGGAGATAGGCATAAGACAAGATACAGATTGCTATTTGAAACCAAGGAAGTGAGGATTGGCTGGTAAGAATACAAAGTGTAGGAAGAGAAGGTGGCATGCAGAATGATACCCTTTAATGGGTTGAAAAGGCATTAGGTATCTGCAGCATATAGACAGATGTATCCAGAAAAGTAGGAAGACCTGCAGAATGCCCCACCATAGTGAGTGTTTCATGCAGGCAGAAGAGTGCAGCAGTACAAATGACATCATGAATTAAAAAGAAAGGGATCAAAATATATCCATTGAATTTAGTGGCATGGAAGTTTTTATAACCTCTTAGAAAATTGTGGGATAAGGTAGATTGCAGTGGGATTAGAAATAAAAGGAAGTAGAGAATTGAGGAAGGAAAGTAGAGAGGATTTTTTAAAAGAAGTTTGAATAGAAAGAACATATAGAAAACATGGGAAATTGGTTTTTTGGACACAAGAACTTATATGTAACTTGAATATATTTAAGCAGGTTGGAAAGGGGGCATTAAAAACAGAAGTAAAATTCTGAAAAGAGAGGATGATCAGTTGAGCAAGATTCCTGAGAAGGCAAAAGAGGGTGGGATTCCAAAATCAAGTGGTAGGATTAGACCAAGACAGCAGGAAAAGAAGAAAGGAAAGGATGCGTCCAAATGCAGACAGACATGTAGTGTGATGCCAGGAGGTTCAGGAATTTCCCAACTGATGTCTGTTTGTTTGATTTGTTTTAATTTTTGTAAAGTAGAAAACAAGGTGATCTATTTTCTTCAGGTAGTGCAGAGAAATGTTCAAAGACAGAAGAGACTTGGAAGTGGACCAAATTTGAAATAGTCGCTGCGGAGAACACTGGAGAGTTCTAGTAAGGGAAACAGAGGGCTCTCTAGAATTGAGGAACACCTGAGTCTGGAGATTGAATTTATAATGTTCTCATGTGCTTGGTTCTGCCATGTTTTTCCAGTGATACTAAGCAGAAAGGACCCACACACAGGGAAGTCATGTGATTGAGTGCCACCAGGTTGAGGGCTTCTACAAGACTTATTTTCCAGAAGGATAGTAGGAAGAATCATTTAGGACAAGAGCCATAGAGTGATTTGAAGTGATGCACAATGGATTTGAACTACGCAGAGACAGATAGTAGGAGGTGGAGAAGGGTCGATGACCAGAGTTCCTGTGAGGGTTGAGAAACTAGTGATTGCAAGCAACTAAGGAAATATGTTCCAGTGAAGCCCCTGTCCCTCCTACCCTATCTGACACTCAGTCCCATTCCTGGTGGCAGATTCAGCTTCCTGTGCGTTCAGCCTCCCCTCGCCCCCGCCCCGTGTGTCTGGCACCCTCCCACGGCACCTGCACTTCAGATTTACACCCTGACTGCCTGCTGGTCCTTTCTGCTGATGGATACTGCAGACAGCCCCAACTGCACTTGTCTCAGCTTTCCCTCTTATGAAGTCAGAATTATCTATCCAATCTAGAAAACAAAAATTAGCCCAGACTCTTCTCTCTCCCTCAGTCTGCCTCTGCCACACCTCTGGACTACATATCCAATTCGAAAGTGACTCCCATGTTCCTCATTTCACACTTTACCTTTGAGTGGCTTCTAGGGAATAGCTCATTATTAGCACTTCAAGCCTAATTAGCAATATCTGGCAGCCTCTTAAGGAAATCAGACATGGCACAGTACTGGAAGAAAGTAAATAGTCAATAGACTTTTTTCCTTTCCACCTTTTACTATTTAAGATTCTGACCTCCCATGAAATTTATTTTTATCAACATAATAAAAATCTAAAGATTATGTCATGGCAATTTTACTACATTTTATGTTATATATAAAGATATATCATAACTATGATTAATTCCATAATTTTGTGGCACATACCCATAACTACATGATAATTTCTATGTGATGAAAAGAAACATGACTAATTTTAACTCTCTTAGGTAAAGCAGATTGTCCATATTATGCTAAAGCAGAACTTCTGGCAGACTACTTACAAAAGAATCTACCTGATTTTCAAATATTTAAAATTACACAACATCCTGATGTTTGGGAGGTAAGAAGGCTTTTTACATTTTGTTAAATACACACGAGCACACACACACACACACACACAAAAGTGCTTTTATTTAATTAAATATTGGCTAGTATATCATATTGGCTTCCAGCAGTGAATGTTTAAATACTAATGATATTTTAACACTAGTGAAAATTAGTACTTACCAGTTTCAAAACACCATCTATATCTCTTCCCAAGATCTATTAGAACAGATGAGACCTTAACAAGTAAGTAGACTAAGTCTGGCTCTTAACCCTCTCTGTCAGCACATGAGCCAACTTGCCCTCCCAGCCAGGCATTGGGAAACAGTTGTTTTTTCAAAACTAAAACCTTTGTATTCAGCTTTAATTGCAGTATGGGCAGTTTGTGATAAATAAGTGGGTTTTGGTTTGCAGTTTGGGCACTTGCCTCTAAAAAGTTCACTATCACTGACCTAGATGCTAAGTATTACTGTCCTTGCTGGGAAACAGCTGGTCTGCATGCCCCTGATCAGCAGGGCCTTCAAGCATGGTAACTTCTTTCCTTGCCTGCTAGTCTCTTGGAACAGGAGCTCAGTATGATTAATGGCAGCCATAGCTTAAAGGTGAACAGAACTCTTCCTGTGTCCCCTGGTAGAAGCACTCCCTCTTGAGTATTTAAAACCACCAGACCCACAGTCGAGATTAATGGAGTTTTGGGAAGCAATGGCAAACAGGATCATTCTTCATTCTACTCCTTGGTTCCTGGATTCAGGTATTTTTACCTATTACGGGCAAAATATTATATTGGTTGACAGTATTATTACATCCTGAAAGAGATGCCCCACCCTTACCTGGTATCAGTCTTCAAGCTAATGCCTGCACCTTTGGTGGCCTGCCCTGCCCCTCTATCAGGCTGTATGAGTGATGTGATACCTGTGATACCCTATAGGGGCAGTGGATCCCATGGTTTTATGTTCAGTATTGCACCTCTTTTGCCAAAATTGGGTTCCTTGGTTTTGAAGTGACATTAAGCGGGACCTAATGTTGGTAGGTTAGGCATTTTGAAAGCTCTTACCAGGGATGCTGATCAAAGTTCTACAAGCAGGAAAGGCAATTCTTTACCTAGAATGTGGATTCAAATCTGAACAAATTGTTGGCCTTTACACAGTGGAAGGAGTCCACTATGATCAACCGGCCAGGGAGAGGCTGGCCAGTACCTTCTATGAGTGGTGCCATTATCTGGGGGCCAGCATTGGTGCAGGTACAATAACTATTAAGCAGCACTAGTAAGTAGGTAGGCTTTGGTGAGTGCTAGCCAATTCCCTGGAGCAGTCAGATGACTCAATCTCTTTGTAAGCCCTTTGTGACTGCAGCTGTGTAAGTCATCTCATGTCCTGGGCTGTTTAGTACTTCTTTCACAATAGATACTCTGTGATGGGGACTGCCCCCTGGGCTGTTATTTCAAAAATTTATCATCCCAATTTCCAGGGAGCACAACTCTGTAACACTGCACCCTATAATGGCCCTGGTCTGAAACAGGTGGGCACGCTGGGGTTCTCAGTAACACTGGGACTGGTCTTGCCAGTGCATTCCATATGCTCTCGGTGAATGTATTGTCATCCAAAGCCTTTCAGAGAACATGGCTGACTACGAGGTTTTCTGGCCTCTATAGTACTATATCCACCAGCTTTTCATCCTGTCTTCTGCTTTCTTGCCTGGCAATTTTGGCATTGCTGTTTTACTTAGGCCATTATTTTCTCCAGGCTTTCAAGAGCCAGCCTAGCAACATGTCATCACTATTTTCTGAGGTCCTTGCCAGAGTGTGCCCTCCTGAATTGCATGAGTGCTTTATATTAAGAAAGTCTCTCTTGTCCAGCTTTATGTTCCACTATTGATTTAGCACTCCGAGGGGCGAGTCCAGGGTATATTCTGCCAGCTCCTGCAGGATCATCAGCATGTTCTGCTCAGTGCCAAAGGCTCTTTCCAGGAGAGTCCTTTTCCTCCTTAGGCCCCACACCCATTGCTGGGACTGTGCTGTAAGTGGAGGGACCATGATGGAATCCTCACAGCCAGGTTTGTTTTCAGACAGGATAAAGGAAGGGAGATCTTCAAGACCAGCAAGAAGAATTAGCTGCCAAGATTTTATTTGTTAGGTAGCCTCATGGTTTTAAGACTGTCCCCTGTACTGGGCAGATAAGAATGCTTGTCCCTGTCTCTGCTCAATCTTATTCTACACAAACCAGATAATGATCATTTAAACTTTTTCTCATAAATATTATCAGAAATCTCCAGATAACTTTTAGCTCATTATTTCAGTCTGACCTGCATAAAACATGCCCATGGGTTTGAAAAGCAGTATCAAAATTTATGTGGCCATAAAACTACAAATATCTCACATATAAGAATAAGGGGGAAAAAATCACTTTTTAAAATTCAATCAAATTAGAACAACACCTGACCTCTCTTTAAGTTGGACAGTTGCACTCCAGGTGTCCTAAAAAGAAAACACAACTTTCAGTACCTTTGTTGCCAGTGAATTTGAAGAATATTCTTTTGTATTTCTTAAGTTGTTAGCTAAATCAGCACTATTTTCTACATTTTTTGTTTTTCTATTTAAAGATAACTATGTAGTATTTCATATACATAGTGACACTAAAAGCAAGCTGGTATTTGGAGTTTGAGTTCTAAGATATTTAGTTGAAATCTCAAACAAATTAAATATCTGACTTCTCTTGGAGTATCTTTCAATAGGACTGGCTGAAAGATGTGTGTGAAAAGAATAAATGGAGTCACAAAAACTCCCCCATCATCTGGAGAGAGCTGCTGGATCGTGGAGGAAAGGGTTTGCTCTTGGGAGGGTATAATGAGTTCCTGGAGCATGCTCAGGTACATAAATTAAGTTGATTTATCTCCTCACAGATTATTCTCTTACATTATTTTATGCTTCAAATGTCTTGCTTTCTGAGGCATCCTCTCATCTCTCTATTTTTACTTCAAACAAAATCTTTCCATTATAGCCATTGAGGTGACTTTTTCCTTCCCAATGTTTAGCTTTACTATGGTGTCACCTCGAGCATGACTACAGAGATGATGATGGTAATTGCTCAAGAGAACCTGGAGGCACATAAAGAAAAAGAGCTGAAGAAAGAATCCTCAAAAGATCTTGTCAGCCCCTTACAAGTTTGGATTACCAGGTAGGACAGTGAGACCCCAGGATTTATAAGATTGTGTTTTTACTTTAGAAAGGACAATGTGATGGGATTTGTTCTGTGGTGAAAGAATACCTAAATGTCGAATTTGACATTTGAGAGAGAGAGAGAGTGTGTGTGTGTATACTTAGATGTATAGCTATGTGGTTGTGTGTGTATGTCCTCCAGTATGACCCCACACATGAATTCTAGGGTTTACACACAGGCATGCATGCGCACAGGAACTGAATCTGAAAGAAACTTTAGAGTGTGGCCGCTCGTTCCCTCCCTCTTTCTCCTTACTACTTTCCCTCGCTCTTACGCACTTACTCCCTGTCTCCCCGCCCCTTTTCCCTTCCTCAGTTCTATTCATTCCTCCTGGTCTGGGGCACAGGCCTTGTCGTTCCGTCTCTCCCTCTGTCTCTGCTCTCCTTCTCTCTCTTTGTGTTTCTTGTTCTCAGTCTCTTCCCTTTTCCTTTCCCCAGCCTTCAGTCTGTCTCTCACACTGTCCTTTCCAACTACATGTGTGCAATGTAACATATACACATTTTAAAAACAATTTTTACTATGAAAAATTACAACTATAGAAAAGACTTGAGACTTCTGTAATACATATCTATGACCCTATCACCTAGATAAATAAATTCCCCATCTTTGAAGGATAAATACAGTGTAGGTTCTGTTGAAATCCTCACTGTTCCCCTCCCAACCCCACCATGAGTACTAGAAATTCTCAGATTTCCCAGCTCCCTCCAGTTGGTTGATATAGAAATAGAAGACCCTTCTACTTGCTTTTTAAATAATATCATTATTTAAATTGTTTTCTGGCGCTCTGAACAAGTAATTAGTTGTGACAATTTTTTTTTTTTTTTGCTACTTCTGATTCCTACCCTTAAAATGTCTATGCAGCTGTGTGAATGCTTATTTGGAATATTCTATTGGCCTTAATTATTAACGCCCGTCAGAAATATCTATTAAGAATAAATGCTTAACCGGGGCCAAGGGCCTACGCCTTCCCAACCCAGCTTTGGGTTTTTCAGCGCATCCACTCCTGCGGGCCGCAGCCTGATTCCCATACTGGTAAGCGGAGAAGTGTTTGGGAGCGGCACGGTCCTGAGCCTCACTCTGTTCGACCAGCAGCGGGCGGAAGGAGATCTCAGAAGCCTGGCGATGGAGGTGGAGGACTTGGCCTCGCCCTTGCTGCGCAGCGTGGCGGTCTGCACGCGGCCGGAGGAGGCCTTCCGCCAGGCGCAAGTGGTCATCCTGCTGGACGACAGCACAGAGCAGGAGGTGCACAGCCTGGAAGACTGCCTGCGACAGAGGGTGCCCCTGTGCAGCCTCTACGGGCAGCTGATGGAGAGAAACGCACAGGACTCCGTCCGGGTGATCGTGGGGGGAAAGACCTTCGTGAATCTGAGGACGCTGCTGCTGAAAAGATTCGCCCCAAGCATCGCACACAATATCATCGCTGTGGCCCTCGGGGTAGAAGGAGCAGCCAAAGCTGTATTAGCCAGAAAATTGAAAACCGCTCCCTCCTGTGAGTGAACCCGGCAGGGTTTGGGTGTGGGTTTGGGTTTTGAAACAAGATTTCAAGCAGCTAGAAGCTGCATCTTCTAGGATCCTTCTGGATATCTGGAATACAAGGGGTGATGGAAAACGACGGTGAGTGTTTAAATTTTTAAAATCTACTACGATAAAAGACACATGGCCGTTAATCGCCATCAAATACTCCTCCTCACTGCGAACACACTTGTGCCATCCTTCTTACCGCTTTCTGAAACACTTCTAGAAGTCCTCTTTCGTGAGTGTTTCACCAGATGTCATCATAGATGCTGCAAATGCTCGTGCCCAGTGCCATCGAATAGACAAGCAGGCGCGTAAAAACATTGTGGGGTGTCCTTATATATCTTACTTACTGGATCTGGCACCATGTGACCTCTGGAGCTTGCCCAAACCCCAGATGACTATGAAAGGTAAATATTTTGAATTAATTCAGGACATTAGGGCAAGCACAACAACACAACTAAAGACAGTCACAGAGGAAGACTTCCAGAACTGCATCAGAAAGCGGCAAGAATGACGGGAAGTGTTCAAAGTAGAGGGGACTATTCTGAGAGGGATTAATGGCAATGTTTCAACAAATTTTTTAAAATTATATATTCACCGTATTTTTTTAATCACACCACCTGAACATAGGAGGCAGACACAAAGAATTTCTCATTGTTTAACTACAGTACTCCCCCGCTGTCCTGGAGGTTACACTCCAAGACCTCGACTGATGAAACATCAGATCATATCGGGCCCTGTGTGTACTCTTTTTCCCTATATGTGCATGCCAGGATGAAGGTGAATTTATAAATTAGGTTCTAAGGTCAGACAAGATCAGGCACATTCAGGGTGGAATGGCTGTAGGCTAATTTATAAATTAGGAGCAGCAAAAGATTAACCACACTAACTAATAATAAGCTAGAAATATTATGACAATATACTATAATAAAGTTGTATGAAACGTATGAATTGTTTATTTCTGGCATTTCCCATCTAATATTTTCAGCCAAAGGTTAACCGAGGGTAACTAGAAGCACAGAAAGTGAACCCTTGCATGGGAGGGCCTACTGGATGGTGCAGATTTTTTCCACAGGCATTTACATGCTTACAAAAAGAATGTCCATCCTTATAGAAATTAATATTGTTTAATATAGTAAAATCTATATTGGTCAGGTAATTATTTGAAATTTAATACTCCATTTTTCCACGATAGTAATTGATTAAAGTACTTTGGTTTTTTAAAAATTTAGGGCTCTTTAAAGTGGCTTTGCCCCACTTCCCATGGTGAGACCTTGAGCAGTCAAACTCGCTCTGCTTCAGTCTGCTCATCTTTAAAACGAGGATGTTAACAGCACCTTCCTCCTAGAACAGATGTTTGCATTCCGTGAGATATAGTTCTAAAGAGCGTCAAAGAGTGGCTGGCACATGGTAAAAATCTGCAAAAATGTTAAATTTATTGATTGGTTTATGCTGTCTGCTCGGTTTTTGCCCCTACTAAGATTTGAATGGGTAGACATGAAAATCATGTAACCATGAGACTGGATCACAAAATGGGTTGTTGTATTTAAAAGGAGAAATCACATTTGACATGTTTTAGCTCTTTGTGCCCTTGGATGGAGCAGGTGGATTAGCATCCATTGAGAATGGAGAGGCGCAGGACATTCTCTCAAGCAGAAGTGAGAAGACAATGAAGTGCAGGCCCAGAAGGCTCTAAGGCAGTGAAGAACATCAGTGAGCCCCTAACATGCTACTCAGTGCTGTATTACCATTTCTTTACATGGAAGTCCCAGAAAGCACAATCCCTTGTATTCTTGTTTATATATCTTTAGTGTCTTACCCTTGGGGTCAGGATAAAACTCAGCTAAACTAAATACTAAAATCATCCAACAGGAAATGAATCCTTTTCTAACCATTTTATCTATGTGATCAACCTTATATTTATATATATATATATATATATATATTTGTAGATGCTGCCTTTTCACTAAAGATGTATAATACACCGATTAAAAGTATCAAGAAGAAGTGACACAAATTTAAAACAAGGTGTGTGCAGTATGTGTGTATATGCTGGGCATCATAACAGGAGGCTTTCAACCACTAAGCGGCTGCTGCCTTGTGGATCTGCTGATACCATAATTCTAAGCTCTGTTGTACGCAAAGCAGATAACTGTGTGAGAGACAAAAGAAAGAAAAACTGGAGGAAAGTCTGGAAAACAAAGGAGAGATGTTAGAGACAGTCGCCAAAGTAAACTTGTCAATGGAGCAGCCAGGAGAAATCCATCAACAATAAAAATAGAGTTAAGAAAATGGCAGTAAAGAGAAAAACCACCAAAGAAATCATTCAGAAATCATTCCAGATGCCAAGAGGGTAGCAAACTTTTTCAGAAAAGCCAGGCCTGGCAGTGTAAGCCTATAATCCCAGCACTTGGGAGGCTGAGGGCAGAGGATGTCTGAGAGTTCGAGGCCAGCCTGGGCTCCATGGTAAATTTTAGGCCAGTCTGGGCTCCATAGTGACACCTTGGCTCACAAACAAACAAAAGCAAGGTTCAGGACCTGCCCTGAGTTCAGTTCACACAAGCTTGTTCCTCAGACCACATGTAATGGCTCAGCCAGGACTCCTTACATTGCAAGTGACAGAACGTCAACTCAGCATGACTAAAGTCAGACAGACAGCCTCTTTTCAGTAACGGGAAGGACAGGTGGTAGTTCGTGTTTCAGGCACAGCTACATGCTGGGATTCACATGATCTTGGATTTGTTCATTCCTTCTTTTGGCCTTTCCTTCCATGTTGGATCTAGCCTCAGGTGGACTCTGGAGATGGCAGTGACCACTGGCATCTCTGCTTCTGTCTGCTGAGCTCACCCTCCCATAAGAAGAGGGCTGTCCTTCTTGCCTGTTTGGGCAAAAGGAGCACAGACTTCTTGGCCAGGTGGGGACCATGTGCCAGCTTCTGAGTCAATCTAATGGTCAGGAGATGGAGCCAAGGGCCTCATCCTAGGCCAGACCTAATGGGAAACAACAGCCCACTCAAACCCTATGGTCTGAAGTAGGAGAAAGGGCAGTTATTGCAAATAAAATCAAATTTTTAAAGAAAAAAAGGAGAAAGGAATACTAGGAGGAAAACAACCAGCAGATGTGAACTAATTTTCTGAAGCATAATGCATAATTTAGATATTTACAGATATTAAGGGTCTTAAAACCATTAAGAAAAATGAGACCCAGTGAGATTAAGCTTCTTTAGACTGTAGGAAGTAAATCTACCCTATGCTGGAGAGTTATTTTGCCCAGGTGGATCCTATGAATTTCAAAACCTGACAATTTTTCCCTTTCCTCCTACAACATACAGCTAATGGAGGGGCTCAAATGTGCATAATTAGCTCTCCTGAGAGCTGAGTGTTGGAAAGAAAAGTAGCTATTCCTACATCATGAGCCATTCTGATGAAGGGGAGAATGTCAGAGGACGAGGTTGACATTGATGGTTGTCTACCCAAGACAACCCATTCTCTCCCTTCTCTCCCCTAGCCTGTCCCTTGCTCCAGAAGTTCAAACAATCATACTCCTTTTCTTAGCTTCTCTTGCAGCTAAGAATGACTTAACAGTGTAGCCTCACAGCTGTGAGATGTGATACCTGGAACTGCTGCAGCCATTTTAGGACCATGAGGGATAGACCGTGAGAATCAGATCTTTAAGCTGTTGAAACAGCATATGCCACTGCCTCCTTTGACTTGTTATCTAAGAAAAGTAAACTCCTTCCACCTAAGCCAAGTTAGTAGCCAAGTAGCCAAATTCTGCTACTTCAAACCAAAAATAATCTTGAAAGAAAGAATTTACTCTTCTTAATATAGAATTAAGTGTTTAAGCAAATAAATAATTAACAAGTAATTAAATATAATGGTATCTTGGTTCACAAACTTAATTCTTTCCACAGTTCTGGTCACAAACCAAACTGAATGAGAACCGAATTAAATTTCCCCATAAGGTCAGTGTTGAACCTAACCATTGAATTTGGTTCAGTTCTTGTCCAATTTGGTTTGCGATCAGAATCATGGAAAGAGTTCAGTTTGTGAACTGAGGTACCACTGTAAAGTTACTTATTTGTACTTTGCATACAATATGCCTAGAAAATCCAGTTGTAGAGACCTATTAAATAGCAATTCTTATTTCCCTTTAACCTTTGTCCTCTTATTTCTTTCTTAGATAACTACTGTCATGGTAGAGTAGCTGTTTCTTCACCGACTCCCCTTTACTGTAGAATGTTGTGTGTTCTGAGTTTGGGTCTGATTTCTTTCTTCTAAACCTAGTACCCAGAAAGAAGTGCCTCACACACAGAATATAATTTCTAATTAGTTATGGACTTAAAATGTTCCCTAGGGTCCTATTATTATAGCAGCTGCATTTCACAGGAGATGAAATCCAAGAATGAAGTCATTTTTCCAAGTTTCTATTTGAGTGTACAATGAAAGACACTTGGTCTCAATCAAAGAAGATTAAAAGTGTGCTTTCTCCTGAGTTCTATCCTGGTACCAAAAAAAAGTGTGCTTTCTCTTCCTCTCCCTCTCTTTCTCTCTCCCTCTCCCTCTCCCTCTCTCCCTCCCTCTCTCCCTCCCCTCCCTCTCCCTCTTCCTCCCCTCCCCTTCCTCCCCCCCCCCCCCCCCCCCTCCCTCTTCCTCCCCTCCCCTCCCCCTCCTCCCTCCCCCTCCCTCTCTCTCTCCCTCTCCCTCTCCCTCTCTCTCTTCTTTCCCTTCCTTCTCTCTCTGTAATAAGGTTAGGACCAACCCCAGCAATATAATTTTCAGTAACAATTTCTTTCAGGATACATTTCAATATTCCTTGGATTTACTCACCTACCCATACCATTAACAAAGCATTATTAGGGACTGCCTATCCCTGGTGATGAAGGAGGTGATCCAAACCTCTTATACAGCTTTAGAGACCATAAAGTTTGATTCATTTTATAGCAAATGGACCGCGCTAAACATAAACAAAACTAGGCTTCATGTAATTTTTATATTAATGTACTTTGTTATAGCCATTCTTTATTTCTATTCTTAGGCATCAAGAATGTGATTATTTGGGGTAGTATCTCTGGAAGTCATTACGTTGATCTGAGGAAAGCAAGAGCTTACAAACAGGAGAGTGCCATTTGGGGACCTCCTCAATATTCCCGCCCTGTTCTAAACTTGATTTTTGATAGGTACAGTATATTTTTAAGTACAGTGTATTAACAGTGTTGTATAAGTGTATAATAATTGTTTCTATCTTTAGGACCATCATATATCTCTTTGTAAAAAAAATAACTTACATCATTTACTCATATTTTATGTTTTCTATTGAAGAAACTTAGACAATTTCACAAAATATCAAGTCAATACCAACCCAAGTTTGATTTTGAAATTGTGAGTTTTTATGTTTCAGATTATTGCTAAAGTAGTCTACATATTCCATTAATGTTAGCTCTCAAACAAGTATAATATGTAAAGGAAGGTTCACCTAGTTTCAAGACAGATATAGCCAAATTGAAATATTTTGAGAAGGAGGAATTAAGGTGAGGCCCAGGCCAGGCGAGGCTGGGACTTCTGTCCCAGGAGAGGCAGAATTGAGATGTGGAGACACTCATGCGTAGGCCAAGCTACTTGGGTTGAATTCTCACTTTTCTACTCATTAGCTGTGTAGCTTTGGAGAAGTTGCTTAACTTCTCTATGCCTTGGTTTCTCCATCTGCACAATGGAAATGGCAACACAATATGGCCTAAGGTCACTGGGAAGATGAAATGGCGTAGGAAACACTAGCATTACGATGAGGCGGAGGAGAGGTGCGCAGGAGTGCCTTTGGAGCTTTTGTCTACTTCTGTAGCATTGAGATTGTAGCATTTCCCCCCATTGCCCACACTTTCCATCCCCAGGCAACAGAAGCTTCACCCATGCCTGGGAGTGAAGAGTCCCGGAGCCTGACTTCCATGTTGCTGCCTGTGCAGGACCTGTGTGACACAGAGCCATGTCCTGTGCTAAGCCATTGGCAGGGCAGCCATTAGCACTTGGTCCAGTCCAGCTGTTCCCTGAGTTTACACACCAGCTCATGAAAACACAATTATTTCCCTGAATCTCAATGCTCATAATGCTTTTGTGATTTTTTTTTTTAAATGAAGGGTACCACGTTACTGGTTCCAAGATAGCATCTATATAGAATAAATTCTTTGTAGTGAAAGTAATTGTTCCTGCCATCTTTGGCCACTTTTCTGTGTCCCATATTTATATTGTTATGCTTTTAGTTTGAAATTTGGGGGTTCCCTCCCATTCCCTTTTGTTACTTTTCCATGGACTTTTGAATGAGGATTGAAGGCACTTGAAGCAACATATGGAGTCATATTTCTGTCTTGATTATGGATATCATACCTTGTACTTAGTTCTATTGAGCCATGGAACATCCTTTCAAATTTCCCTTTCTCTCTCTATTATAAAGCTGTTTCTTTCTCTCTTTGCAGTGAGTGGCTAAAAAAAGAATTTGTGACAACTCTTAAAACTTTGACCACCACAGGAAAACATTTTGGCGGCATATTAGCTGCACACAGCATAGGCACAACGCTGAAATATTGGTACCATGGCTCACCACCAGGGGAGATTGTGTCTGTAGGAGTATTGAGTGAAGGTAAATCTGAGTTTTTCGTATCATATCATATTTTAAAACCTCCTGTCTAGGTCTTAACATGGCCTATAAGCTGGACTTACACATATTATAGTACATTTATTAACTCATGTATTAATTCAATTGTTGTTTCAAAAATTTAATAATATTTTGTATGAATGCACTGGGAACACACATATAAATCAGAACCAACCTCTGCCTTCAGAAAACCAAATATAAAGTAAAGGAGAGTCAGATACATAAAGTAAATAGTTCCAAGAAATTTTTCTTACTGTACTCAGCTGAGAAAGGGAAAGCAAAATCCAGGAATTGGAAGAATTAGAGCAGGCTTCGTGGAGTTGACACTGAAGGAAGCCACACAGTCTGAGTAGTGCTGACTAGAAAACAAGTGCGGGAAGAACAACAAGCATAAGGAGCACCAGGAGCGAAGACCCAGAGCAGGAGGCAAAGAGGACCAGAACTTAAGGGGACCAGGAAGCCCTGGGGATGTGGAAAACTTGCTCTGGAACTTTTACAGCCTGCATGTTTTCTTCCAAAACCTATTCAGAAGTCTTCTACCCTTTATATAAAACAATAAAAAGACTGAATGAGGGTCTATCCTCTGCAGATTCGACCTCAAGCATGTCTTTCCTTCCTGTTTTGCTGTCTCCTTCAGCAAACTTCTTTGCTCTCAGAGCTTCAGGCCTGGACCTCCCTGCTGAGCTCTGGCCATGAGACTTGGCCACCAGGATTTCATGCTGTCACTCACTTCCAACATAGAACAACCTAACTTACTGTTTTCCTCCCCAATCCAATCCATGTCTTTTATTCCTTGTGTATCAGCAGAACCACTATCATCGCCCTTGTTGCAATGACTTTGGTGCAGCTCAAGGACGTGCTCCAAATCCCTCATTTAATAATTAACCTCTGTCTCTCCCCTCTACTTGCAAGCATTTTGTTCCTCTAGCAGAGAGCGTATCATAGTCTGCCTTTTTAGTTGCATATGTCCCCTTCATCATTAGGCTGTCTACACACTGAGGGTGGGGACTCTTCATCATCTTTCTACACCTTTGTGAAAGGAGCATTTCATATAGTAGACACTCAGTGAACCTTGTTCACTTGAAGTTAAGGTGTGTAAAATTTGCACACTGTGAGCTAAGATCTGTGTGTTAACTTTATAGAAGATAGGCATTTAAAAACCCTGTCTTGATTTGTAGAAAGAAAGTTAAATCTATGTAGAAATTATATTCAAAAATAAAGAATACCGTAATCCAGGGAGGGAGATGGGTGATCATTATCTGCTTTAGGTAAGCCCTTATACATTCCCTGTCCCTGACACTAGTTCTTCACAGATAAAGCAAATAAAAAAACTAATAGAGGACCTGTGAAGCTCCCTATAGAAAAGTTGTTTGGATCCAGTTTCTTGACCATCCTCAGGGTTGGTTTTTTTTCCCCCTATTGACAACATTTTTAGTCCCTAGAATAGCAAGAATGATTCTCTTTATTTGACCGAAGCATCAAAATGGAGAGCAATTTTACCTGGATGGTGCTCAGTTAGTAATACATAGTGTCCGTCTGTTTTATTTAGAGCACATCCAAATGGGGACCTGGAGGCTATAAGGAAATAAGCAACTCTCTGGCCCAGTGCTTCCCCTTCCCGGCCCTTCCTGTCCTAACAGCGTGATTGCCATAATTGTTCAGAAGCATGGAGGCCCAGATTGACAAATGACAGGCTCATGGACAACACAGGGAGCCATGGAAAAACTTTGGGAAGCAGACACAAGAAGCACAATCAAGATGTGGAAGGAAAGGTGGCATTAACTTCCAGATACGAGAGAAATAGAGAAGGGAGAATTGTCAGTACTTGGACAAGTGCTCAGGCAATACTCACAGAACGAGTGCTTTGGTCCTTTGTGGAGAATTTCCAGAAATTCAGTTCCATTATTACCATTAAAAATTGGGAATCTTTGTGTCCTTTTCTATGACCCTTAGTAGGAAGTATTTATTTTCTGAGTTCTTTTGTTTTGCTTTGCCTTGTGTTTGCTTACTGCAGGCCAGTTTGGTATTCCTGAAGGGATTGTCTTTTCTATGCCTGTGAAATTTGAGAATGGAACTTGGGCAGTTCTTACAGATCTCGAAGATACTGAAATTAGTAAAGACATAATGACAGGAATGACAAGTGATCTAATTCAGGTAATCTCAAGAGTACACACTGACTTTTTTTCCCCCTGGTACAAGGAATTGAACTCAGGAGCTTGCGCTTGCCAGGCAGGTGTGATGCCACTGAGGGACATCCCTAGCCTCAAGGGAACTGACTATGTTAATGACCTGAAGCTGATTCCCCTAGACCAAGACGTATACATTGGTTTTCTCTGGGTTCAATTTGTATCTTATTCCTAAAAATAATGAGGCAATGAAGGTTTAAAGAAATCAGCAAAAGAACACTTCTCATTTGGCTGTATACTTTCTGGAATGTTAAAAATATTTGTTGTTGTTTTTTGATCTAGAATTAAAGTATTTTTCTATTAAAGATAATGAAGGTAGTGATTGTGGTCATTTAACTGATTATAAAATTTTTCAACAGGAAAAACTTGTTGCACTTGGAGAATTGATGACTTTTCAGCCATACCAGTCAGGTAATAATTTCTTAGATGTGATCTTTCATTGGGCTGCTATTAAGAAAGTATTAAATAGGGCCGGGGATTTAGCTCAGTGGTTTCGTCACCTGCTGCACAGGTGCAAGGACCCAAGTTCAATCCCCGTACCAAAAAGAAAAAAAAAGTATTAAATACTTGTTATAACTTAATCACTAATAACATAGATAACACTAGTCTATATTTTATCATTTTTAAACTAAATTACCGTCAAAATAAATTGCCGAGTTCAGTGTGTCTTTTGAAATAAAACATAAAATTGCTAAGGAAATCAAATCATAAAAACACTATGGCCTTATAAAGTCTGTAAATATCAGATGTATTAGTTTTCTACAGCTACTATAACAAATTACTACAAGACTGGGTAACTTAAAACAACAGAATTATTTCCTTACCGTTCAGGAGAATAAAAGACTCAGATTATGGTGTTAGTAGGACCATGTTCCCGCTGAAGACTCTGGAGAGGAATCCATCCTTCTCTCTTCTACCTTCTGCCAGATAACATGGCCTTCTTGGCCTGGAGCTGTATCACTCCAATCTTTGCTTCCTTCACATGTCTACCTTCCCTCTGCCTCTGTGTTTCCAGATCTCTCTCTTCCCCCATATAAGGGCACCAGTCGTTGCATTTAGGACCCTCCTCCCCACTCCAGTGTGACCCCACTCCAATAAGGCCCAATTAAACTGAGTCTTAAATATCTGCTGAGAGTCTATTTCCAAATAAGGCCACATTCACAGGCACCAGGGCTTAAGACTGCATCATATTTACTTTTAGATAACTTTATTTAAACATCAGTGAATTTCAATAGGCTTATTTTTCTCAGGATCATTTTCCTTAAACGCATAGGGAAATACTGTCATTTTTCTTTCTTTCCTTCTTTTGACCTAAAGAAAATCCCAGGATCAATACAGAAATAGACATGGAGAAATAAATCTATTTATGCAAAAAACGTTAATCAAATATCTTTTTGAGTCCCACATTCCTCCTTCCCACTAATATGTATGTAGGGTAAACTGGAAGCTGGTGCTGAGAGCTGGAATGCAGGGGTGAATGAGATCGGCTTGGTTTTGCCCTCTCAGAGCCGCAGTACGTCGGGGAGCCACTCAGGAAAATGACTTCCCTGGGGTGCAGCTCAGGAATGAGAAGGAAAGGGAGCTGTGCTGGGAGACTGAGGCCTGGGGAGAGAAGGGAAGAACTTGAGGCAGGAAAGCGTAGATCAGCTTCTTTGGAAAAACTCATGGACCTGAATCCTAAAGAGGCAGAGCTGAGGTAGAGCCATGAGGAGTACGTGTGAGAGCCGTAGAAGATTCTGGATTGAGAATGACACGATCCAGAGCAGCTGGCAGAGAAGTGCGTGAAAGAGGCAGTCAGAAGGGTAGGACCAGCCCCAGAAATTGACAGGCTGTGTGATTTGTTTGAAAAACACCCTTGAAGAGATGATTATACCCAGGACCAGAGGCAATCAAAATTTGAGAGATATCTAGGAGACATAATTATCAAGACCTGATGATGGGGTGGTGCTGGGGAGTCCCAAGGACTCAGGCTTCTTCTGGCTGAGCAAGTGGGTATATTCACTGATGGAGTAAATGGTAAAAGGACATTATCATGTGAAAAAGAGAGACGTGTGCATGTGTGCGTGTGTCTGTGTGTCTGTGTGTGTGTGTGTGTGTGTGTGTTGGGTGGGACAGGAAGAGGCTGGTACCAGAGTACAGGAAGGATGAGTTTAGTTCTTATGTTCTGATTCTGAATACCTATGTGATGTTTAAAATATCAGACAGAAAGCTACATACTTCCTAAAGCTCAAAAAGATCTGGACAGCAGGTGTCAAGTTAAAAGTTATTGCCTTATAAACAGAAAAAAAGCTGTGAGCATGATGGAAATTGTGTAAGAGAAAATGAGAGAAGGAGGTCTGGAGGGCCTGCAGGAAGCTAGGCTAAAATGGTTATGTAGATGGGAGCAGCTGACAGAGGAGCATGTGACAGATAGGATAAGATCGGAGGTCACAGAAGTTGTAAAGGCAGAGAGTGTTTTAAGAATGATCTCAGCTGGGCATGAGGACAAGAAATGTCCTGATGACCACAGTGAGGAGCCTGGAGGAGAGGCTGAGTGGCCAGGGAAGGAAGGTTTCACTACTGGATCTCTCAGACCTATTGGATTTGGTTCTATGTGCATTATTCACATATCTCAAAATAAAATAGGTGGAGAGATATCTGGATGGATGTTAATGTTTAACAACTGAGAGAGAGGACAGAGGTAGAGGGGAGTGAGAAAGGTCCTCAAACCTGCAGCAAAACATGAGTTCCAGAGCACAGGATCAGCTTTAAACTAGAAGTATCTGTACTGCTGAGGATCAAGGGAAGCAGAAGAGATGATGGCTGCAGAGACACATAGGTATGTAGGATGGAAGAGTGCAAAATAAAACAGAAGGCCAGGTCTGGAGAGCGGAAGACCAGGGGAAAGGCTGAGGTTTAAAGGATCAAGGTGAAAGTGTGAAATGACTGTTAAGAGAAAGAAGATAAATGAACCAGAAAAAGCATAGAATTTTTTTTTTTAGAGCTGAGAGCTCAGTGGCAGTCACACTGTGAACTCCTGCTGACTCCACTGTATTGCTGAGAGATTCTTTGAGAAGATACTCAGCTTCCCGGATGTAGGAGTGGCACTCTACAATGCCTTATTTGTAGTAAACTCCCCAATGTTAGGGAATATTGCCACCCATGCAACGAGAATAAATACAATTAAAATAAGAGTAACACTCCTCTCCAATCCAACAAAAATCTGAGGTTTTCTATGCTGACTTTATTTGGAATAAATAGATGTTGAGGTGAGTTTGATCATCAGCACCAAATATAGGAATGGAAAATGAGTCCTGCTTTGCTACTTTACTTAGCATTTGGGGAGGAAGGAAGTGAAGCAGAGAAGTTGAGGGTAGTAGAAGAAGCAGATTAAATGATGAACTTTTAGGGTGTATGTTGCATAGAGAAGGAAAAATACAGAGAAATAAAAGAGCCCGCACTGGTACAGAAAGTATCTAACAACCACTATGGTGCAGACTCCAACCAATGGAAATAGCTGCTGCCTTTCAGAATGGACTGGTGAAAAGGACCTGCCAGAAGACAGTGAGAATAAAGGTAGAAGTGGAGAACAAAGAGGATTCAGTGAGGCCAAAGTACAGGCAGAAGGAGGAAGGGCAAAGGGACATTGAGATAAAGAGGGTGTGAGCAGAAGGCGGGGTCTGGAAATTTGGAGACTGATGGTTAGGTCACCAGGAGTGGGCCAAACAAAGCCTAGGGGTGGAAAGAAGGTAGAAGTGCAGGCAGAGAAGGCTATGTAGAAGTCCAATGGGAAGTTGCTTTAGTTAGTTAAACTTATTCTCATAATTTAAAAGCCATTTGGGTAACTTTGCATTTGGCAGACTAGAGCTACAATTCTTTTCATCGTAATGAGTTACAAAACTGTCATCCTAAATTTGACTCCATGGAGTGGTAGGTAACCCTAAGTTTCCGATCTATGTCTGCATTAAAGATATTTATGAAATAAATTGACCTGACCTATATGCTATGTTCTAATTAACAAAGGTCACCATATATATTATTGACCTTCACTCTGTTACTTTTATTCCCCCCGCCAAAAAAAAAAACGCCACTGTGCAAGGAATTCCAAATTCAGAGCATTGAAAATAATCAGAGCATTGTAGCCTCTCACAGTTTGGAGATCTCTACTTAGTAATTTATTAATGAAATTAATCATGTATGAGCTTTGTTTAATCCCTTCAATTAATTTAATACCTAATTTCCTGGCTTTTAGAAACTGAAGTAGCCAAAAGAGATGAAGAAATTTTCTCCATCTCTGAAGATCACCAGGAAGAATGCAGACTTTCAAATGGTAGGTATACTCAAGTGAAAAAAACTGCCTTTTTAACCAAAAGATTAACATTACATTTCAAAGAAAGAAATTTAATCCTCCCTTAGCCATAAAATGGCTTATCTTGTACTCAAAAAATTATATTTAAAATATACTTAAGTCTTTGAAGGAAATGACCAGATTTTTTTTAGTATCTTCTGTGTCCTGGTTTCTGTGAGAGATCTTGGGGAACACATTAAGGGAATAATGGCCACACACACTATCTAGGAGAAAGCAACCAAGAGACTATGAAATGCTAAAATACATGATCAATTAAAAAGCATAATAAAATAGAACAACAAGGTAGATCAAAAGGTAAAGAAGTGTACAATAAGCAATCTAAAAACTCACAAGGAAAGGAAAGACTCTTTAATGTAGAAAGGAGAAAGCAATCATTCCTTCAAATCTGCCTGGAACCTAAGATGACTAAAGATAAATAAATAAATATTTATTCAGAAACTGTGCTCATTCAGTTAGGCAAGAAAAAAAAGTTTAGAGATCTGTACAGCAATGTGTACATAATTGACAACACTCTATCCTTAAAAATGTAAGAAGGTAAATTTCATACTATAGGAATCTTACCATCAAAACCCTGCAAGGTACTAGGGACATAAAAATAAATCAGGATGGCTCCTGCCCTCAAAAGTACTTGCCATCTAGCATGAGAAATAGCAAAGCAAAGATAAAATTGCTCTACTAAGAGATATCTTAGTTTGTTCAGGCTGCTATAAGAAAATACCATAAACCAAGTGGTTTATAAACAACAAATTTATTTCTTAACAGCTATGGAGGCTAGGAAGTCCAAGATCAAGGCACTGTTTTATAAGGACACAATTCCATTCGTAAGAGCAGAGCCCTCCTCATCTAATCTCCTCCCACAGGCCCATCCTCTTAGCATAGTTACACTGCTGTGTAGATTTCAGCCTATGAATTCGGGTAGAAGGGTGACACAAACATTTGGACCCTGGCAAGAGGTTGGTGCTATGATAGAAAGAGGTCCAGGGTATAATGTGAGTATGTAGCTATCTCCTAACAGGCTTTCCAGGAGAGATGACATGGAAATTGGTTCTGGAAGGATGAGGGATGATTCATAATTAAGAGAAAAGAAAGTATGAAAATGCACAGGAAGGAGATTGTGAAAGGTCACCCATTATAGGGAAAAGAACATGGAAAAGGAGATAGTTTAGGAAATAAAGGCATATCGAGATATACAAATCTGGGGCAGTAAAAAAAAATGGTTTTCAGAAGACAAGTAGTGCAGCTAGGACACAAACAGGGAGTAGAACTGGGGAGGGAGGTTGGGGCCCTGTGTTGTCTGGCTGTGTGATTGCCAGTATGTCTGGTGGATGGCGGGACAAAGCTGAAACAGATGGGGTCGGCACTACAGAGCTAATCAGGATGGAACATTAGCCCTACGGATGACTATGGCACACCCCGGTCATTGCCCAGATAATCTTGATGAACTCAGTCCCAGCCTGAATAGATCTCTTAAGAGGCCTAGTTAGCTAGACTGCTTCTTTAGGTATCTGATTAGTAGCCCTTTATTCCTATTGAGCCACTAAAGACCTTGTCAGAGAACTGAGAAAAACCATAAGATCGTTTATGAGGAACTTGACCAGATGTATGAATAGAAGCCAAGTTGCAGAGTATATATTCCCTAGAATACTGAAAATTTAAGCTGTTATTTAAAATTGTAGATACTTAAACCTCCTAAGTTACATTCTTGTGCAGACTAACATATTTTAATCATGATAAGGCAGAGAAATGGCATTGATTTCAGGCTGTTGTGAAGACCATTTGTTGAATGGGACTTGAAATCAAATATAATTTATTACAGTGCTTTCCATATTATGAAAACAACGTCCGTAACTTTACATGCATTATAAATGGATGCACATTGAGGTCATACTCTTAAGTGAAATAAATAGGACACACATGTGCAAATACCAAATAGTTTCTCTGGTGTGAGTAACTGAATGTGTAAATAAAGACTAAAATATATAATAGGTAATGTGAAATAGGAAGAAAAAAGGCAAAGAGGAAGAGGAAGTGGGAGGGGTAGGGGAAAGGAAAGAAGGGAATGGAATTAATATGAGAAAATGAAAAAATGGAAACAGTCTTTGTAAATAGGGAGGGGAGGAGGGGTTGAAGGGAGGGCAGGGGAATGGGGAAAAAATAAGAATCAAGAGAGATTACATAAAGGTACAAATTTCCAATGATGAATGTCATTATATTGTATACCTAAAATGTACCAACAGAATTAATTTTTTAAAATTTTACGTGCATTATAAAAACACTAGTGATTAAATCACTAGCATTTTGCTCAGTGAAATATTATTAAATTGATAAGAAAAGAGTAAGATGTGATCCCATTTGTTGATTCTTTGTATTATTTTCTGTGTGATCCAGGTTTTTTTCATAAAGTCTTTGCTTACACCTATATCTTCAAGAGTGCTACCTAGTCTATCTTCCAATAGGTTTAGGGTTTTTGTTTTAATATTTAGGTCTTTGATCCATTTCAATTTTAATTTAGTGAGTGGGGAGAGATATGGGTCTAGATTTAATCTGCCTGTGGAAAGGCAGTTTTTCCAATACCACTTATTAAAGAAGTTATCTTTCTTCCAGTGAAGGTGTTTGGCCCATTTGTCAAAGAATAAGGTGACTGAGTGTATTTGGAGTTGTTTGTGCATCTTTGAATCAGCTCTGTTTCTTTGCCAATACCATGCTACTTTTATCATAGCAGCTTTGTAGTATAATTTCAAGTCATGGATTGTGATGCCTATTCCCTTGCCTTTGTTGCCCAGGATTGCTTTTGCTATTCTAGGTATCTTCTGGCTCTAAATGAATTTTAGGATTGTTTTTCCTAATTCTGTGAGGTATGCTGTTGGTATTTTTATTGGGATTGCATTAAATCTGTGTAGTAATTTTGTAAGTATGGCCATTTTCACTATATTGGTTCTTCCTACCCAAGAACAAGTGATATCTTTCCATTTTCAGATAGCTTTTTTGATCTTTTTTTTCAAAGTACTGTAGTTTTCAATGTAAAGGTCCTTTGCCTTTTTTATTAGATTGATCCCTATTTTATTTTTTCCCAATGCTATTGTGAAGGTCGTGAAGGTTGTTGATTTTGTATCCAGCTATGCTACTGAATTTGCTTATTAAATCTAGAAGTCTTTGGTGGAGTTCTGGGGGTCTTGTGTGTAGAATATCATTTCATATGCAAATAATAATAATTTAACTTCTTCTTTTCCTATCATTATTCATTTTACTTATTTCTCTTATCTAATTACTCTGGCTAATGTTTCCAGAACTATAGAGAATAGAACAGTGATAGTCAAAATCCTTGTCTTGTTCCTGATTTTGGAGTGAAAGTTTCCAAATTTTGTCCATTTAGTATGATGTTGGCTGTTGGTTTGTCATAAATGGCTTTTTCAGGTTGAGATAAAGACATCTATCTACTCCAGTTTTCTGTAGGGTTTGTGTCATGCATGAGTGTTGGACTTTATCAAATGCTTTTTCTGTGTCTATTGAGTTGATTATGTGGTTTTTGTCCTTGGTTCTGTTGATATGGTATATTAAATTTATTGATTTGCATATATTGAACCATCTCTACATCCCTGAAATGAATCCTACTTGGTCATGGTGTATAATCTTCTTGATGATTTGCTTCATTCTTTTTGCCAGTATCTTATTGAGGATTTTTGCATCTATGTTCATTAGGGAAGTTGGCTTGTAGTTTTCTTTTTTGGTTGGGTCCTTCTCCAGTTTTGGTATTAGGGTAATGCTTCCTTCCAGGAATGATTTTGGGAGTTTTGCTTCCCTTTCAGTTTCATTAAGGAGTATGAGGAATAGTGGCATTAGCTCTTCTCTAAATTTCTTGTACAATTTAGCAGTGAATCCATCAGAACCTGGCCTTTTCTTTATTGGTAGGTTTTTAATTACATCTTCAACTTCATTGACTGACATTGGGTTACTTAGAATTTTTATAAATTTTATCTTCTTGATTCAGCTGCTGGTAATTCATATGTGTCTAGGAATCTGTCCATTCTGTGTTTTTTATCTTACTTGAATGTAGGTTCTCTAAGTAGGTATCAGTGATTTTCTGGATTTATGCAGGATTTGTTGTGATTTCATCCTTTCATTCTTAATTGCATGGATTTGAGTCTTTTCTTTCCTTTTTTTAATAAGGTTGCCTAAGGGTTTGTCAATTTTACTTAATCTTTCAAAGAACCAACTCTTCAATTCATTGATCCTTTGTATTGTTTTCTTAGTCTCAATTGCATTATATTTTGCTCTGAGGTTTTGCACAGCAAAAGATACCAACAGAGTGAAGAGATAACCTACAGAGTGGGAAAAATTTTTCCCAGCTGTTCCTCAGACAAAGAGCTAACACTTAGAATATATAAAGAACTCAAAAAAAAAAATCAGACCTCCATAATTTAAAGACCAAATCCAAAAATGGCCATCTAAAATGAATAGACACTTTTCAAATGAAGTAGAAACAGCAAATAAATATATGAAAAAATGTTCAACATCACTGGTCTTTCAAGAGATGCAAATAAAACAATGCTGAGATTCCTTCTCCTGAGAGAATGGCTATTATGAAGAAATCAACCAATAACAAATGCTGGTGGGGCTGTGGAGAAAAAGGAACCCTTCTCCACTCTTGATGGGAGTGTAGACTGGTACAAACACTGTGGAAATCAGTGTGGAGGTTCCTCAACGAACTATGTCTAGAGGTTCCATTTCACCCAGCTATTCCCCTTCTTGGTATCTTCCCAAAAGAATTAAAAGCATCATACCACAGTGATATATGCACATCCATGTTTGTAGTAGCACAATTTGTAATAGCCAAATCTTGAAAACACCCAAACTATTCATCAGCCAATGAATGGATAAAGATGTGGTAGTTTTATAGAGAAAGCAATCCAAAAATTCATTTGGAAAAGAAGACCTAGAATAGCAAAAGCAATTCTAGGCAA